TCTCTCTCTCTGACTTTCCCATAAACAAATAAATCCTTTAAAAAAACTATGCATAGATTTCAAAAATAATTTTGCACCAAAATAAACTTATCTTTTAGTTGCAATTTTCCTATGCACTTTTTGATGCACTTTCATAGAAGAATGAAAATTCTTCACTGCTTGAAAAAACTAGAACCAAATATATATTAAAGAAACAATGAAAAGACAGGACCAAGAAAATGAAAGGAAAACCAAAGAGCCAAGAAAAAATCCAGAGATTTTCTAACTTCCCCATGGACACTGACCAGGCAGGTTGGATGGAGCCTGATTCTCCACCTGCTAGAGCAAATGAGTTTTCCAAGATCTTTCCCTCACTTTCCTCTCAGTGTGCTAACTATGCTAACTATGCTGGAGCTGCCTTTTCAAACCAGTGGAACAGGTTGCTGAAGCCAGAGTGATGCACACCCAGATGACTGGACACTGAAGTGGACCACAAACATCACTCCCATGACAGTGCACCTTCGGCCACCAGACAGATGTAAGAGGTATCTGCCAGGGGGAACTCACAGCTGGAAAGACAGCTGTGGCCAGGCGGGACCCCAGCAACCATGCCATTGGGCAAGGTAGGGGCTGGAAATGGCCGGTCTGAGCCCTTGCCACCATTCACCAGCTAGCTTCCCACCACAGGGCTCTGCTAGTGTCCGAGTCAACAGCTGGACCAGAGAGGACTTTGGAAAGCATCAGGCATCCAATCCCTCTGCCTCTGCACATCTCCTAAGAGAGCTTCTGTGAGCTATGGAAGTCAGCCCCACCTGGATACTTAAAGCATCTGCATGGGCAGAGCTGAGCCATCTGAGTGTTGCCTTACAAACCAGCTTCAGGGCAGGGCCCTGCTGATAGTCACATGCCAGCCAGACCACAAGCATTTGTGAGTGTGCAGCAGATGGCTCCTGACCTCTCTCCACTCTCGGTGTGCCTCTGAGCACTTTGTTGTTGACACTGCACTGTCACCTTACATGACATAAACTGACCAGGACCAGCCTTCAACAAACCCATGAAATAATTAACATTTATCTTGCCCTTCTCCCATGTCCACGGCCCCCTTATCCAACCTTTTATTCCCACCATGGCCCCCACTTCAATGGTCCCTCTAATGGGACCAGCAGATGAAGGTTGAAGATCCTTTATGTTTTATTTCATTCTATTTAAGAATTATTTATTATGTATTTGAAAGATGGGATTCAAGAGAGGCCCCAGATGCCATAACAGCTAGGGCTGAGCCAGGATGAAGCCAGGAGCCTGGAGCTTCATCTAGGTCTCTCATATGGGTGGTAGTAGGGTGCTTGAGCCATCTGCTGCTGCTTTCCCACCACATTAATAGGGAACTGGGTTGGAATTGAAGTTAACTTGATACTTAAATTCTTAACCCACTGCACCAGAATGCTGCCCTAGTCTTGTATTTTTTTTTTATTTGACAGATAGAGTAGACAATGAGAGAGAGAGACAGAGAGAAAGGTCTTCCTTCTGTTGGTTCACACCCCAAATGGCCACCACAGCCAGCACACCGCGCTGATCCGAAGCCAGGAGCCAGGTGCTTCTCCTGATCCCCCATGCAGGTGCAGGCGCCCAATCACCTGGGCCATCCTCCACTGCCCTCCCAGGCCACAGCAGAGAGCTGGACTGGAAAAGGAGCAGCTGGGACTAGAACCTTGCGCCCATATGGGATGCCGGCACCGCAGATGGAGGATTAACCAAGTGAGCCACGACGCCGGTCCAGGCTTGTATGTTTTAGCCAAGCCTCTTAGAAATTAGGAAACCTGGCCGGCGCCGCGGCTCGCTAGGCTAATCCTCCGCCTGCAGTGCCGGCACACCAGGTTCTAGTCCCAGTCGGGGCACCGGATTCTGTCCCGGTTGCTCCTCTTCCAGCCCAGCTCTCTGCTGTGGCCCCCTGCACCCACATGGGAGACCATGAGAAGCACCTGGCTCCTGGCTTCGGATCAGCGCGGTGCGCTGGCCGTGGTGGCCATTGGGAGATGAACCAACGGCAAAGGAAGACCTTTCTCTCTGTCTCTCTCTCTCACTGTCCACTCTGCCTGTCGAAACAAAAAAAAAAAAAGAAGAAGAAGAAGAAGAAGAAATTAGGAAACTGTGGGGAGCAACTGAGACTAGACTAAGTTATTGGAATTAAGACTTATTCTATGCATCTGCTCTCCCACAATATGGCGCTGAGAGAGAGCAAACAACCTCTACACAGCTGCCTTATCAGTTTGACTGATAAGCTGCAGGAGCTGATCCTGCTCCTAATTGGAGGAGAGCAGCGTGCTCGGCATGTGGGCAGCAGAGCATGGATTGGTAGAAGAGGACTATAAAGGAGGAGAGAGACAGCATGCACCGGAGCAACATCTGAGCAACCCCTGAGAGAGCCGGCCGGCGGTGTGCTGCTCCTCCGCGGAAGCAGGGAAAGCGGTGGGGGGTACCGCCCCTCTGCGGAGGTGGGGGGGGCCGGCAGCTAACCAGGGATGGCGTCATTCCTCCACGAGTGGGGGACTGGCAGCAAACCCGGGAAGGACCGGCAGCAAACCCAGGAAGGGCCGGGCAAGAGAACAGCGCAGGGTCCAGTGTCGTTCCTCCACGAATGGGGGAGTGACAGGAAACCTTCCAAGTTCACATGTGGAAACCATAATGATAGGTAGGATTTCTGTGTTTTGTTTTGTTTTTCAGATATTGGAGAGACATGGGGAGCTGCTGGCTCCTTCCCAAACCATACCATGTAAGCACTAGCAACTTGGTAATTGTTTTTTTGAGTATAACTCTACATACTCAATGACATAAATCTCCAAAACCAACATCGCTTCCTGACTCCACAACTCCTTGCTAGCCTAGCTGTGGAATTTCCCTGGAGAGCAGGGACCCTGGCAGCTCTGTCAGGTCCATGTGTCCAACCAGCCATGGATGCTCCAGGCAAAGGACCCTAAAGGCACCATGAAGTTACTGAACTCAAGAAAACCCAAGCACCTTGGGGGGGGGGGGGGGATGAAGCTGGTTTTCTACAGTTACCGTGAGAAAAAGCAAATCCCATGAGAAAATCAAGATGGCATGAGAAATGAGGATGGCAGCTCCGTCCCTTCTAGCTCTAAGGTCTGAGAAGTTATGCAGTGCCCCACCAGCACACATGGCCTGTTGAGCAATCATGGTTATTTAAGAAATTCAGTGGGGCCAGTGTTGTGGCATAGTGATTACAGCCACCACCTGTGATGCTGGCATCCCATATAGGTGCTGGTTCATGTCCCAGCTGCTCCACTTCCAATCCAGCATCCCAGCTAATGGCCTGGGAATTGCAGTAGAGGATGGTCCAAGTGCTTGGGCCCCTGCACCCACGTGGGAAACTGGCTTCAGCCTGGCTCAAGCATCTGGGGAAATGAATCAGCAAATGGAAGATTCTCTTTCTCTCTCCCCCACCCTCCCTCCCTCCCTCCCTCCTTCTCCCTCTTCCTCTCCCTCTTTCTCTTTCCTCTATAACTCTGCTTTTCAAATAAATAAATAAAATTTTTTTAAGATTTATTTATTGGATTGAGTTACACAGAAGGAGAGGCAGAAAGAGAAAGAGGTCTTCCCTCCACTGGTTCAGTCCCAAGATGGCCACAATGGCCAGAACTGCACTAAACCGAAGCCAGGAGCTTCTTGCGGGTTTCCCGTGCGGGTGCAGGGGCCCAAGGACTCAGGTCATCTTCCAAATTTTCCCAGGCCATAGCAGAGAGCTGGATCGAAAGTGGAGCAGCCGGGACTTGAACTGGCTCCCATGTGGGACTCTGGCACTGTAGGCAGCAGCTTTACCCACTACGCCATAGCGCCGGTTCAGATAAATTTTTTTTAAAAAAAGAAATTTAAAATTTTTTTCTTGGGTCAATCTTTGGTGTAGCAGGTTAAGCAACCACTTATGACAGGTGGCATCCCAAATCCGGGTGCCAGTTCAAGTCCCAACTGCTCCACTTCCAATCCAGCTTCCTGCTAATGTGCACCTGGCAGGGCAATGGATGATGGCCCAAGTGTTTGGACCCTTGCCACCTACAAAGGAGGGCTTCAGCAGGCCCAGCCTGGCTGTTGCAAACATTTGGAGAGTGAAATGGTGAATGGAAGTTCAGTCTTTTCCCCTCTCTCTGTCACTCTGCCTTTCAAATAAATCTTTTTTAAAAAATGATTTCTTTAGCCTGACATTGTGGCACAGCTGGTGAGACCAACATCTGCAATGCAGGCATCCCATACGGCACTGGTTCAAAGCCAGGCTGTTCCACTTACAATCCAGCTCCCTGCTAATGAACCTGGGGAAGCAAGAGAAGATGGCCCAAGTACCTGGGTCCATGCACCCATGTGGGAAAACTGGATGGAGTTTCTAGTTCCTGGCTTCAGCCTGGCCCTGCCTTGATCATTGTGACCATTAGGAGAGTGAACCAGCAGATGGAAGATTTCTGTCTCTCCCGCTCTCTCTGTAATCCTGCCTTTCAAATAAATAAGATAAATCTTTAAAAAAAATACAGATACCATTTGTGAAACCCACAATCCATATCAGAGTGTTTAGGTTTGAGTCTCAGCTCCACCTGATTCCAGTTTTCTGCTAGTGTACACTCTGGAAGACAGCAAGTGATGACTCAGGTTCCTGGGTCCCTGCCACACACATGGAAGTTCCAGACTGGGTTCCTGGCTCCCAGCTTCAGCCTGGCCCAGTCCCAAGTATTGCAGGCATTTTGGGGAGTGAACCAGTGGTTGGGAGATTCATTCTCTCTCTCCTCTCTCTCTTTTTATCCTTCACTCTCCCCCTCTCTATTTCTTTCTCTCTAATTTCAAATAAATAAGTGCTTTTTAAATTTAAAACAGCTTCCTTAGACTGAGAAGGGGCTTTTACCAAAACCACCAAACTCAAGTGTGAACCATTAAAAGTATTCCACTTTAAGTCAGGGACTAAGAACTAACTCGGTGCAGTAAGAAAAAGGAGCACAAGACATTAGGATTGGAAATGATGGAAAAATTCATTACGTGCAAATGTTAGGTGTATACATCACATAAATGGAAGTTCTCCATCGGCTCTATCACCTGCCTCTGACCTCAACCAGCTTAAGCCTCAAAAGCAACAGGCTTCTTCTTAACAGTTCCTGTGTTTCTCAAGCCAGATCCTTCTACTGCTTTCACTCCTCCTTCCTCCCAATGGCATCATCCATCCATTTCTCCACTGGCTGATGAAAAGAAGACGAAGACTTCAGCAGGACTGACCACAGCTTCCAGGAAGGATGTGCTGGCTCGGCAGCTTGGAGGAAGGAAGTAAAGGCAGGTTTGTGTCACTCACAGCCAAGGCCCAACTTCCCAACACATAGTCCCAGCAGGCCAGCAGCACCATAATGCCAATTGTTCCCGTGCCCCATACAGGCCTCCCCCCAACACCCGGATGCCTACAGTCCTATAGTGAGTGCTTCCTCTCTTCCTCACCAAGCCCATTAGCACCTTCAACCCTCCTGGAGGATGGAAAATCTGGGGATAGATGGGTCTCCCCCTGACACCTTGAATGCTCTAGAGTATCAAGATCCACCCCCAGGGAAAGTTGGGGTGGCCCTAATGTCCCAATACTGACTTTCTACCAACTGGAAAATGGACTTTAAAAATGGAAACTAAACTTAGTTATAGAAAAATAAAGTTCTGTTTCTCTCACATATCAACCTTAGGTCTCTCTCAAACCTGCTATGTGAACATTACTGGCACCTAGTAAATGCTTCAGGATCAGTATCCTTAGCCTAAGTTGCACATACCCAAGTGTGGACAGTTTCCCTAAGTGATGATCTTCCGCAGCAAACTGAGACGTTGGCGACTTCTGGAAACAAGGAGAGGAGGAGTGGATAGAAACTCGTGTTTACTTTCCACAGGACTATAATACTTCTGCCATTATAGAAGGGAAGAGAAGGAAATGTTGAGTGCAACTGGCATGTTTTATACCTGTGACCTTGATGATGTAATTTTCCAACCTATTTTAGCATCCATATTTGCACAGATTTTATGGGGATACAAATGAAAATTCTATTTTAAGGATATGATGATCTCATAAGGAAAATACAAAGTTTAATTCTAAGTAAATATATCTGGGGCACATCCTCTCCCTCCATACACCCAGGAGTTTTAGCTAGTCTGGGGGGAGCCCTGCCTCTGACCTGGGATGATGAGTTCATACCTTATTGCTTATAAATTTGTTTCTTCTGGAAAGAACGCCCTAATTTATCTCACTGTCTCCAGTTGATTGACTGAGCTCTGTGCAGTTTTCCAAGGAAAGAATGTGCCATCTTAGCCATGGGACAGCTCTTCTCCCCTGCCTCCCCTGTCTTGTCTTGCTGTCCTCAACCCCATCTCATCCCTGCAAGGCTATGAGATGGAAGACAGATCGCACAGCTGTGGTCCCCATTTAGCTTAAAAATCCTTTCCGCTTCCTGTTCTGGAGCACTGCCCACCAGCCCTGGGCATGGGTCCCTTCCAGCTGCTCTCCCTTGAAACCAACACTTCCTCAGTGAGCAGCTGCAAAATGGACTCTTCTCCAGAGAAGGTGTCCAAGAGCCTGTGCTGTCCCTGGAGTGTGCAGAAGGAAGAGGGCTGGAAGAGCAGTTCTTTCATGTCAAAGAGGGCTTCTTGCTTCCCAGCAGCAACTCTCATAAAAAGTTTGTGGAACATCATAGAGAACACTCTATAAATCCTCCCTTCCCCCTTTGCCCCAGGAAAATGAAGCCCAAGCTATGCAACAGAAACAACCCCCAAGTTACAGGTCTGTGTCTGGCCCTGCTGTTGTCACTCCCTTGCTCTGGGATACTCTAAAATCCACGTAGCTCCCACTTAGTTTCCATCTCGCCATCAATAAAGCACTTGTAGCAACACCAACCATCACAGTCCAGCTAGAGAGAAGGAGGCCACAGGATATGTGCAGTGAGGATGGAGTGCCAGGAAGTGGTTTGCACAGTTGAGAGCACTGGTAAGATGGACTTCGGGCCATGAGGAAGGGCAGCTGGAACTTGGCTGCTGTCACAGGCAGAGTTTCTTCTGCAGGGAAGTTCCCTCTGTTCGAATGGGGCCCTCCTGGGTCAGCCAGGACCATCTCTCCTTCTGATCTGGACTTTCTGTCCCATCTTCTGAAGACCACAGGGTACTTGACTGAACACCTGGGGACTGAAGCTCAACCAGCCAAAAGCGTCCATCTGAGCCTCCCAGCTGTGTGTGTCCTGCCTGCTTCGCATCCTTTAGGAGGTTTTACACTTGCTCTCTTTTAGAAACGAGCAATCAGATGAAAAAGAACTGAATAAATATCGAGTTCTAAATTATTAGCCTCACCCAAATGCTCTCATATTAGTCAGCGTGCATACAAGACAATTTCCCCTGAGGTCATCAGCATGCACAGAACTTACTTTCTGCTATTTCAGTTAACTCTATGACCTTCAGGCATGTCGTTGTCTGCTGTTTTCTTCATAGCTGCCACTTTTCCCAATTAGTGAATAGCATTTGTTCATGTTAATTGATACATTTTTAGGTAATAGTCCATTTTCTTCTCCATTTAAAAAATTCCAAATGTTTGCCATTTAAAAAACACTACTATTAGGGCTGGCATTGCGGTGCAGCTGGTTAAGCCACTGCCTGCATCATGAACATCCCTCTGAGCACTGGTTCATGTCCTTGCTGCTCCACTTCCCATCCAGCTCCCTGCTAATGCACGTGGGAAAGCAGCTGAATAAGGCCCAAGTCCTTGGACCCCTGCCACCCATATAGGAGACCCAGATGGCTCCTGACTATGGCATGGTCCAGCCCCCGATATGATGGCCATTTGGGGAATGAACAAATGGAAGATCCTCTCTCTCTCTCTCTCTCTCTCTCTGCATTCCAGATAAATAAAATTTTAAAAATGAATAAACAAATAAATAGCACTATTGTGAACATATTTACACAAATAGCTTTTATCACTTTTTATTTATGGTGGAAAAATATATTTAGAATTACCCAGCAGTTTCATTGGCAAGATCCAAAGCATAATAACAACCAGGAACTAGTAGAACATATGTTTAGCCCCCTTCTTCAGGCCTTATGGAGACATTGACCTTGGCCACACCATGAGTCGATACTGGCTGTTCACTGGCTCTTCACTGGCTGTCTGATCCGGCACTTGTTGACCTTGACATCCACAATGAATACAAGTGTGTTGTCAGACTCAGTGGTCAGGGGAATTTGATGATGACACAGGGGCCAAGCTTGTTCCTCCTGGGGCTTCTCAGGATATTGGTCAACATGGGTCATCCTTTTATTTCATTCTTTTTATTGCTGAATAGTATTCCATTGTGCCTAGATATGATATTTCCTTTGTCCATCATCTGTTAACAGATACCTAGGTTGATTCTATGTCTTGGCTGTTGTGAATAGAGCTGCAGTGGACATGGGAGTGCTGATATTTTCAACATACTGATTTCATTTCATTTGGATATATATTCCCAGGAATAATATTGCTGGACCATATGGGAGGTCTAGTTTAATTTTTTGAGGACCTTCTGTACTGGTTTCCATACTGACTTAACTAGTTTACATGCACAGATTAATAGCACAGCATCTCTCCAAGGGGAAAAGAAGGAAAAGGAATAAAACATCGCTGAATGTGTCTGTCCTGTGACCACACTGCAAGACTAAGCTTCCATGGCACCCATTTGGGGAGCTGCTAAGTAGAATTCTCCAAAAAAAATCACCTGTCTATGTTTCCCATTCTTGTACAGTAATAATCAGAAGTGTTTAATCTGATGCAGGTGACTAAGACTTAGAGGCCGAGAAAACAAAGGTGCTTAGGCTGCTGTTTGGATCTTTCCAGTGACTCTGCGAGCTGAGATTTAATGTCTACACTGATGAGATCCACCAGGATGTTGGTGGATGCCCTATTTCCTTTTATTTTGTAGAGACAGTTTACAGGCTGCATTGGAAACAATTTACAAGCATTCTGAAATTCAGCAGAAGTCTCTTGACCTCCTCAAGTTCCTAATTCACTTCATCACACCCTCTCAGTTAAGTCAGTGCTGCTCTCACGAGAACTGCTCATTCACTCTCTGCCCCAGATACCCACAGAAACTGATCTGGGCCTACTCACTTCAGAACAAACTTCAGGAAATCTGCTCTATGAAATATGGAGAACCCCTTAATAACAGGGGGCTGCCCCAATAACTCTTTCACATAAACCCCATTTTAAAAACAAACAGATCTTACAGGTCTCCTTTAGGTCCCAGACTCTGACATCTGACTTCTTGTCTGTGCCCTGGAAATCCTTTGCGTGGTTTGCAGGGCTGATGAGGTTAAGAGGGTTGTAAGAGGGCTCTTCAAAAAGTTCGTGGAAAATGAGCATTATGAGAACACTATGCATGGTGTCCAAAATCTGTTGCACAAAAATAAACTTACATTTTTCACTCAGTTTTCCCACAAGCTAGAGCTTGAAGGCAGCCTAGGGGCAGAATCCTCTTCATGTTGGGGGACTTCAGTCTTTGTTTTTGAGGCCTTCCAGTAACTGCACAAGGCCTACCCTCATTGAGAAGGTACATCTGCCTTACTCCGTCTGAAGACTGAACTGGTAGTAAGATCTAAAAATAACTTCACAGTGCCATCTAGACCGATTGTTGGGCCAAGGATCCAGTACTACAGGCTAATCAACTGAGACATAAAATTACCCACCCGAGATTGACTCAGAATCTCCTCAGTGCCAACGGCTGCATTGGAAGCAAGGTGCAGTGGCTGAGGAATTCCCACCCCCGCAGTGTGACTTTTGTCACTTGCTGAAGCAGAGCGGATCTGTGTTTCTGATGGAGAACCTAGCTCCCAACCCCCATCAGGCCCAGCCCCTTGGGAAGAAGGAGGCCCCAGCCCCAGGTCTGGCTCTCCCAGTCTAAAACCAACCCATGCGAGTCTTTCCAGCCATGGAGGGAGGTGAAAGAAGTGAGACACCTCTAAGTCCCCACCTAAGCGCAAAGAAACTCATTTGCACAGGCATGTCGTGAGAAGAGGGGCCTGGTGTTGGAGCTCTGAGTGGCCAGCAGGGCTCTCAGTCCCTCCCTCTCCACAGGAGCAACAGCATCCGTGGCAGCCCAGTCAGTACCCACACTCTCTGATGACAGCAGCAAACCCCACAACCCACAACGTAGTGGTGGAGACAAGCCCAGGATTCACAGAACTGCACTGGACAATCTGCCCAGGAGACCACAGGGGCCTGACTGACAACATGGATATATGCTGGGTACCCTGAAGGCCTTGTCCCCTCTGCTAACTCAGAGCCTCAACACCTATGAAGCCTCCATCAGTCCTGGACCCCAGGAGAAGTCCAATATCCTCCTCTCTGCTCCAGTGATGCTCACACTCCGCCATAGCTAACTCGCTCCACATCGGCCAGCTGCCACGGTCTGCCACAGCTTTCTGTTAGCTCCTGCTGAACACCTGAGTGTTTTACCAAGCACCACCACTGCCGGTGCCCAAAGGCTACAGGTGCCAAAACCTCAGGTCCACTGAGGTTTGTGGAATAGACGTCTAAGCCTTCATTGTCACATCCTCAGGCCAGAGCTGGGCAGAGAGATGATGGGCAAGATGATTGGCAAGGTCCTTCCAGTGCCTAAGGTGTGCTCCAGCAGCAATCTGTGCACACCTGGCACCTCCTCTGCAAAAACACACCTCCACCAACCACCTTTCTTTTGGTCAGGCCCATGGTTCTCCAGCCATGCACAGGCAGCTACGAGTGCTAGTGCTGGGCACACTTCAGGCCCAAGCTGGAGGCTCTGAGCGCTGCAGTTGCTCTCCTTGTATGGAACACAGGCACCAGGGACATTT